AATCTACAAGAAACTGCTCTCGTAAAAGGATTTAGATATTATATCTCCTTTTTACATGTTAAATATATCGGTGAAGATACAGCAGCTGCGACAGAAATTGCCTACTTGTCAGGACTTTCAAAGAGGGACACATGTGCAATGCTTATGCATTAAAGATGAATTATCTGCGGTAGCATATATTATTTGGCGTCTCTCCAGGTGATTCTTGAAATGACTTGTTCAATTGAGTCACTTGTCATAATTAGTTTCTAGGACAAGATAAGAGACTGTGTCGCGACATTTATTTTTATTATTGAATTGTGTATCTCTCTCCTTCTCCCTCTTTCTCTTACATGATTATGCACTATAAATGCATTGCGAGTTATAAATAATTTATTCCGGAAATCTTTGAAATATGCTTTAAAAAATGTCGCGTCAACGAAGAATCTCATATCGTACTGATAGAGAGAAACGACGCGTTTTATTTGGCCAAGCACTTGGGATAAGTTGGCTTATGATTTCGCTTTCGACAAGGTATATTACACAGGATACTTCTATACTATCATGTATAGATAATGCTTCGTTCATACACCTCCACACAACTTTTCAACGTGCTTATAATATTATACGAGCCTGCGATAGCTTAAACACTTGCGCGATCACCAGCTATCAGCCAGCACGATTTATTATTATATGAAATCGCAACACTTTTACCATTGCTCGTCTGGTCAAAGGTTTCTTGGAATTTTCGCGTTATCGGGGTCGCATCTTTTAGTATAATTTTAAACCGCCATATATTCTCGCCATATAATACGTCCCGATTTCGGCTAATAACAGTTACTTTTGGATTAAGTATCTCGTGATACTGCATTCCTATCGATTCTTCATTTCTCTTGTTCACCTTAAATTTTCTCATTGCTTCCTGTTCCATTCATTTATTAATTCTAAAAGCTAGAAACGCAAATTAAAATCCTCTTCTTCTGGACGGTATACGGTGTCAGCGCTGGCCGATACTACAACTAGTCAATGGTCTTTGAAATTAATGTATTCCAATGGCTGTCGCACGGAACGTTTAACGGTTTTTCACAAGGAATGTGCGTGGACGCATCGACGTGGACCGATTATATGTGTGAGTTGGGCCTAAGCCAGACTTCTTCCAGGAGTACGAGCCGCGCCTTGCCCCGCCTGGCCTCTCCTCCGCGTCATCGTGACCCAAAGATTTCTTGCCTAGAAAAAAAAAAGATGAAAAAATAGAGGAGACATACCCAAAAGTATTTTATTATGCTCTGCCGGTGTATCCTTGCGCGAGGAAAAGATGCGCGGCTGACTTTCTCCGCGCTGCCCGCCTGTGCGGGCCCGAAGGTGGTCAACCGAATCTCTGCATCGGTCCAGATTACGTTCTCACGTGTCTTATCGAAGAATTTGCGGAAACGCAACGGTATTTTAACACACGACAAAGTAGTCAAACGAATGTGACGCTAAAAAACAATCTAATGAATATTAAAATCGAGAAAACTTTCGAATCTACTTGATTAAAAGATTAAAGTTTCTTAGAGATCTTTAAAGCATTTTTGCTGTCCATGTAACATATTTAAAATTTTGAAAGTATTTTGTATGTCTTAATATCTTGAATATTAATATTTAATGTGTAATTTTTTTCTTTAATTGACAAAAGTTCTATAAAAAATGTAAATCTGAAAATGCTAAAAATCTGAAAATGCTAAAAATTAAAAAAGATTTCGTAAATTATCGTAATATATTATATATATATGTATTAGTATACATATACATATAATACTGTTGCTTTCCTTCTCTCAATTATCTTTGATCCTCTCGCGACATGATATATAATATACAGCGGATCTCAAGAAACTTTCACTTTGTTTCCGCAATGTTTTTTTCTCTATGTATCACACATTTATTCTATTCGCGCATCAGATTTTATATTGCAGACGCGTCGGCATCCACATGCCTCACTTACGACAATCGAGCAAGAATCTGAAAGTTTTACCGTCCCCTTCGTATATGTATTACATATATACGGCAAATCGGATCGCGTAAACACACAGCATCGCAAACTAAGACGCTAATCCGGCGATACATTGAGCCGAGTGGTAGCCACGAGCGCTCCTGGTGATGGAACACTTTCCTCTCGTCGACGCCGGCGAGAGTGAACTCGTCCGAGGATCGAGGTCAGGTCAAGGCCCCCACGAAGTGAAGCCTTCGTACCTGAGAGTTCTCGATCTCCTGCTCGTTCTGCTTCTCCCCGTGTTGCTTCTCGCCACGTTCTACCATCTCTGTTTGTCGTTCCATCTGTGCGTCGATCGCTTCGTTGATGCTTATACGAAGCGATCGAAGGCAAAGTAAAAAAGCGACAGAGGAAGAAAGTTACGATTGACGAAACTCGTTTCTGTCTTTATATTCATTGATTATCTACATCATTAGAGCATATTCTCTTCTTTTAGGTACAATGCAAAAAATAAGCGAAACATACATATATGCAGGTATATGATTTTGCACAGCTGTTATGCATAATTGTTATATGTCGTTATGCGGGTAAAACCTATGGTCTATCTTGCTTTTTTCTGTATCGTTGTAAGCACGAAATGCAGTACGGAGGAGAAAGAGAAAAAAGAAGTTTTGCACCTTGCGCGCTGGAAGCACGTGTGAATGAATGAAACGAAAGTTTTCACCTTTCTTTCTCGCCACCTCTTTTTTCGTCCACGCTCACACGTGATTCTGTGGCTTTTTGCCTAGCAATTAACTTCTCTCTGCATACGGCTCATTTAAGGAAAATGAGATGGGTCATTAAAAAAGCAATGAAGCTGCATGGATGAATGAAACCAGTCGTCGAAATGATACATTCGTCAGAACTCGCAAATAATGAGAGGAGCAAGTACTTTAAATGGTTAATAACTACCTCGTAATAACAACGCATGCGATACCGTAAATACGGGTATCGTCTACGCACTGTTCTAAATTGTTTACGCGCCACCGAAGAAAGTAGCGATATTAGTACTTTCACGTGAATAAATTTGTGCTTAATGTAAAGTCAGTTAGTGCTAATTCCCGCGTGACGACCTACATATAAGGATACTCACGGTCCGCTCTTCAGCCTATTTTACATTGCCGTACAATTACGACTGCAATTTCTATCACGGAATATCACGGCGCGAATAATGAGATAAAGTGGAAATTGACGGCGACGTATGTACTCTTACTCCGAAAATGCGTAAACACAATATCGATATATCTATCATTTAATCGTTTCCGGGAAGACGAGGAGAAGAAGGCGATTTGGGATCTCGATCAATCGACGTGACTTTCGGAACTTGAACGTAGAAGGGCCTTGCCAACGTATCAGAAACGGTACTATCTGACCAGAGGATGCGTTCTTGAAGATCAACGAAGTTTCGGATCTGGATGCGACAGAGAGGTCGATTGGCGAGATCAAACGTAGAGAGAAAGAGACGAAGAGGAAGAAAGACCCGCGGGTACTGTGAAAGACGGTGGATTGGAGGAGGGGGGAGG